ATTAATTAAATTAGCCAATCTTTAAGCAAACACATTCATCCAGGCATTCATTAGGTGTACTGGCCAAAGGTATACCACTTTCATATCTTTTGTTCTGGTCCAAAAAGCCAAATCCTATTTCTAACACCAACTCCATGTTCTATTTTATCTTCTAAGATCTTAATCTTGGCAGTAGTGATGAAACTATCTGCTCTCTTAAGTCTTTCAGATTCCAATCTGGTATTTCATAACCCTTACAGATTCTATCTAAGAGTATTACTAGATCCTGCATGGATCACCAGCAGTGGATACTGGTGATTATCAGCTTTAAACAAGTCTGACAAGGCTCTCTGTCACATCCTCAAATGCATGTCCCAGGAACATAGTCCAGTTATGTATGTAATGGCAACATGTAGCTGACTTCTACCACAGCACACTTCTTTTTTTCTAAAGTCAGTAGCAGATGACAAAGTGTCCTAAAAAACCCTCCCCCTTTCTCTCTGATAATCAAAATCATACTTATCCTTCCTTCCTTCAAAGGTTAATGCAAGCCCCATCTTCTCTGTGAAATCTTTCCTGATCACCCAAGCCCACAATGAGCTCTCCCTCTCTTCCTTCCTCCCTAATGACCTTCTGTGACCTTGGATGACCTCAAATCAACTTGACCTCAGTTTTCTCATCTGTTAACTGGGAGGGTGGACTAGATGACCTGTAAGTTCCCTTCCAATTCTAAATCTATGATTTAATGAATATTTATCCATAGTACTCACTTGCCACTTAGCATGTTGTTATTAATTTTTAATGCATGTGTCATTTCTCTCTAATTAGATTGACAATTCTTTCACTACAGGGACTGTCTTCTTTTTCTTTATATCCTTGGTGCAACGAACATAAGTGTCATGCTCCTGAGCCCTGCTAGGTTCAGAGCAATTAAAGACAGTTCCAATAGGCACACAGTTTCAGCTAAACCTGAAGTCAGGGTCATCACAGACTATTCCTGAACAGCTGTTCTATTAGCTATTAACTACAGCACGTGAGAAACCCCAAAGAGGAAAACATCCTCCTGGCACTGTCTTGTTTGCTTTTGACAAGGGTCGGTGCTTTAGCAGAGTACAACGGCACACGCAGAATAAGGCACCCAAGACCATCTCAGTCACATGCCTTTCTATCACCAGAATTCCACTATTCTCTTCCTCACCCTCTCCCCAGACTGCAGTTCTTTCGTGACAATTCGAAAGGGCCAATCATGTTTTCACTAGTAGTAATTACACTGTCTCTCCAACTTTAATATACTAACTATACAGTTTCACGATAGTAGGCAGAAATTAAATTCCACTTAATTAAACTTAACAAGCATTTGTGAAGCAAAGATAATGTGTGAGATTTTAGGGATAAAAAGATACAAGTGAAATAGTCCCTACTTTCAAGAAGCTTATATTCTACTGAGAGAATACAACATAAATGGAGTGGATTAATCTCTAAGGTCCCTCTAAGCTCTAAATGTACATTCCTATTAACCCATGAATATGTGTACAGATAAGAAAATACAAAGTATATATAAGGTAAATTCAAAAGACATCTAGGAAGTGATCTCAAGCTGGTGAGAGGACTAACAACTGGGTAATCAGAAATAAAAGTGGCATTTGAGCTGATGCTTAAGAGAAACTAGGGATTCTAAAAGGTAAAGGTGAGTAGGGAGAGCATTTGGGCCATAAAAGACACCCTGTACAAAGGCATAGAAGCAAGAGAAGGAAAGTCATGAATGAGGAATAGCAATCAGCCCAGTTCATCTGGAACATAGAGTACATTAGGGGGAAAGAGTAGAAAATAAGTTTGGAAGGATAGGTTGGCACCAGATTGTGAAGGGATTTAAATGCCAAGGTTGGGGCTTTGTGTTGTATCCTAGAGGTAATAAGGAGTCACTGAAGCTTCTGGATCAGAGAAGTAATAGGGTCATATAAGAATACCCATTTGGCAACAATATGGACAGTGGATTGGAAATGAAAGATGGTAAAGCAGAGAGAACAATTAGGAGGCTATTGCGATAGCCCAGGTGAAAGGTGATAAAGTGAACTAAGACGGCAGCTATGCAAGTGAAGGGAAGGGGTTGGATATCAAAGTGGTTGTGAATATAGAATTGAAAAGACATCTATTGACTATATGGGAATGTGAAGGGGAATATACAGATGTATATATGTGATGACTTTAAGGTGGCAAACATGGTTGACTGGGAGGATAGAGATACTCTCAATAGAAATAAAGAAGTTAGGAAGGGAGTCGGGTTGAGGAAGAGACAAAATGGGTTTGGTTTTGGACATACTGAGTTTGGGATGCTGATGGAACGTGTGGGCAGAGATATCCAGCAGGCAGTTGGCACCTCGGGATTGGAATTCAGGAGAGAGATGAGTGCTAGATAGACAGATTTTACTGCAGCCTACTTGTTGGTTATAATTAAACTCAAGGGACCAAGTGAAAATACAGAGAGAAAAGAAAAGAGGGTTTGGTACAAAACCCTGGGGACAAACCCAGCTCAACAGTCAAATTTGTTCCATTCTGGATCTCAGCTTCGTTACCTTTCCTATGTTGTTAATATTACATGTTCAAAAAATAATTTCTAATTCATGCATTACAAGGCAGCTTGGGAGAAACAAGTAAAAGTCACAGACTCTGGACTCAAGGAACTTTAACAGCTGGAGTGATAAAATATATACACTGTATTATGATTATCATATGTTATAATATAATAATACAGTATAATAATAGTGTGTTATAATATGATGTATGTTACATATAACATATAGGATAATAGTAATAATAATAGGCAGAAAGGTATAAGGGATTGAGAGCCAACCTTGGAGTAAGGAATTAAGGAAGATTTAAGTTTTGTTTCTAACTCTGTTGATCCTAGGCCTCTCAGGCCCCAGACAACTTTGTTAGATGATAACTTGCAGATAGATGTTCATTGGTAGAAGGGGTTTCCTCACTGAGGATTCTCTACACCAGCAAGACTAAAGATCCGGAAAAGAAGACAATAAGGAAAATATTTCACATTTGAATCTCATGGCAAGCAAACTGGCCTAGACCAAAACAGTTATCTAGTCAATTATGGCTTCATAATATGAAAAAATTAACTCATGTGGTGATTTCTTTTTTAGCTTTTGTTCAACTTTCCTTTGCTTGAATACTGCTATGAGAAAATGAAGAAGCATGTGACAAAAATCATGGGCAGAATGAAAAAAATAACACAAATGGTTCCCAAGAACATTAAAAAAGATTATTTTCTCTTAAAAAAAGTATGTAAGTGCTATATAAATGGTATAAAGTTCTTTTATTCATTTAAAAATCACTTATTAAGGATCTACTTATGTGAAGAGTACTGTAAGAAATACAAATTTAATTAGGACATAACATCTACTCTATTGGAGCTTACAATCTAGTGTAAGAATCTGGAGAAGGGAGATAACACTTTGGGCTACAAAGTTCAGGGAAGAAGACTTCAAGGGGAGGTGGTAATTAAGACAGTCCATGAAAGATGGCTATTATTTGGAAAGACTGACAGGAAAAGGAAGGGCATTCACAAAGAGATGGAAATGCATATGACATATTTTGAGATATGATGGAATTGAAGCTCAAAGACTTCTGAGTCTCTGAAGTGACTTATCTATGGTTGAACTGCTATTAATTGTTGGAGGCTGGATTTGAACCCTAGTCTTTCTTGACTTCAAGTCCATTACTCTTTTCATTACAACATATTATTATACACACAAGGGAAAATAGAAGTTGTGGAAGTGAATTCAGTCTCCAAGAAGGAGGAGAAATGGGCCAGGAAGAAAACCTTGGAATGCACATAAATTTAAGGGTCAAGATGCAAAAGAGGGGCCACCACATGAGAAAGAGGAGGAGCAGTCAGGGAGGGGAAAAGTTGGATAAAGTGTATCACATAGGGTACAGTGGGAAACAGTTTTAGAAATCTGTAGAGTGTAAGCTCTTTGAAAGCAGAGGCTATTTCACTTTTGTCTCTATATCCCCACAAAACACACACACAAAACACAGCATAGTGGCAGTAGGTACTATATAAATGCTTGTCGATTAATTGTTTACAAAGGAGAAAGTATCTCTTCTCAAATTCTACTGAGTTATCAAAAAGAATTAAGACTAAGAAAAGACTTTGTTGTTCAGGAAACTGATGGTGACTTCTGATAGTCACAAGAGAGCTTTACAAGTGGTATTCTTGGGAAATTCTTTGGGTATTCTTTGGGAAAAGTGTAAACTATCAGGTTGAAAGCCTTCCCTATAGGCAAGATAAGTAGAATCACTGTGTAGGAAAAACAGTGCTAAGATTTTAGGATTTAGAGCTAGAAAGAATCTTACTGGTCATGGATCCTGAAGGGGTCCACAGATGGATGTCAGAGGGTCTGTAAACTTGGGTGGGAAAAACCCTAACTGTATCTTCATTTTTCACTACTTCTAACTGAAATTTAGCATTGACTTCAATTGTTTAACAACAATTTTCCGAAAGTGAGGATCGTGATGCAAAAAAAAAAAAGTTAAGAACCTCTGATCTAGACCAGTCCCTTTGTTTTACAGAAGATGAAATCGAGATTTTTAAAGGTTAAGTGGACTGTTGGAAGTTCCACAGATAATAAATAATAAAGTTACTTGGGATATGAACACAGAATATCTGACTCCAAATCCAGGGTTCACTACACTAGAATTGGGTGAGGGTTTTGTGAACTGAATAGGTACAGTAGCTGAGTATAAAGCATTTAAACTTAGCTCTAAAATTAGCCATAATCACAATCCTTCTGGGTGGTTCTCATCATAAGAGTAGGATTCATTTAGAGGGACAGGAGAAAGGAAGGCATTCCAGGTAAGGCAAATAGTGTGAGGAAAGACAGAGGTAGGCTTACATATGGTATATTCTGGTTGGAGCAGTTGGTTAATGTTCAGGCAGAGTGGGGGATAAGGTTGGAAAAGCAGGCTAGAACTTCCAACAGGACTAGAGGAACCCAAACACTGACCTGTGATACTTTTTTTCACTCAGCAAATAGCAATACTGGTCATAGAAGTAGGAACCTTTCTTGATGCAGATTCCATCATAGTGGTACCTGAAAAAAATATTATTTTAAGAGGTCTTCTGAAAGATAGACTATATTTGTAGTGGCAAATTAATCATCAAGCCCTGTTCCTCCTACTGGTAGAAGGAATTTTCTCTTTAGGAGTTCTCTACACCAGTGAAATCAAAGTCCAGAAAGAAGAAAATCAAATAATAATTCATATTTATGGAAAAGTGACATACACTAAGTGCCAATCAATGATATACACAAAAAGTGTCACAGTTTATTTGTTCACTCAACAACCACTTATTAAGTATCTACCAATGTGATATAACCGATGTCAAACTGCTTACCTTTTTAGGGAGGGGGGAGGGAGGGAGAAAAATTTGAACTCAAACAATTTTTAAATGGATGTTAAAAACAGTCTTTACATGCAATTGGAAAAAATAATTTTTAAAAAAAAGTATCTACCATGTGCAGTACACTGTAGCAAATACAAAGATAATTAAGACAATCTCTCCTCTCCTGGAGCTTACAATCTGGTATAAGAATTTGGAGGAGGGAGATGTCACTAAGAGGCTTGGAAGGTCAAAGAAGGCCTCAAGAGGAGGTGGTAATTCAGTCAAGCCTTAAAGAACAAATTTTATTTGGCAAAGTAACTTGATTAACTACAGCTTTGGAGCCCTTTTCTTAATGTTGTCACTCAATCTATTTGTCATTTAAAAACAAAACAAAACCAAACAGGTTAAGGTCACTTGAGCTTGTGAGTTCTGAGAGGAAGCAGGGTTAAAATCAAATGGGTGTCCACATTAAGTCCAACGCCAATATGGTGAGTCCCGAGGGGCCCTAAGCCCTAGCAGGCTGCCTAAGGAGAGGAGAATGGCCCAGGTTGGAAACAGAGCAGGTAAATGCTCTCATGTGGATTAGCAGTGGGCTCGTACCCATACTTCCAGCCTGTCTCAAAAAACATACAAACACAAAGATTTCAGCACTACCTAAACCTTTCTGTTAGGGACAAGCAACACTGGATTATGTCACCTTCTGCACCCAAGAAATTCATGTTCTACCCTGCCTCCTTAATTCTTCCCCCAGAGATCTGGAGATCTAGAGAGAAGTCAGGAGAGAAAGGGAGGCCCCCAGTGTGCCACTGCCATTGTTTTTTGGAGGGAAGCAGGACTGGAGATTCCCTGAACTGGTAATGGTTAATGGCCTCCCAAATGCTATTCAGAAAATATGGTTCTTTTTCTTCCAGGCAGGGTTAGAGTTTGATCATAATTTCTGGATCTTGTAGGGATTTGGAAAATGGACTATTAAAAGCAGAACCAAAAGAATAATATGTCCCATGACTATAGCAGCATAAATGAAAAGATCACAAAAAAGGAGGACAGATCCTGAGTAACTAAAAAACCAGTAATGGCTTCACAGGACAGATCATGAAGCATATTGCATAATATATATGTATATTATATAATATCCTATTCTCAAGGAGCCTGGGTGACTGGTAGAATGATAGTACCATCAACAGAAAGGCATAGAGGAGAGGCGGATTTAGCACTATTTTATTATTGGTTTACCAGTTAACTACTAGTGCCCTCTGTCTCAACAATCTTGCATTTAACTTCTCCCTCTCTCTCCCCCCACATATTATATTAGATATGTTTATATTTATTCACTTCATATTTATGCTGTGAGTATTTTATATGTATTTTATTGTTCACCCATTAGAATGTTAAGTTCCTTTGGAACAGAGATTGTTTTTTCCTTTGTACTTGTATCCCCAGTGCCTAGCCCAATAGCTGGTGCAAAGCAAGCATATCATAAATACTTTTTCTTTGTTTGATACCTCCTCCTTTTGACAGAGTGATAGGAGACTACCAGTATGTTATGTTGTATACACTAACTGTGGTCACTGTATGTTTTGGCTTAATTGTTTTTGTTATAAGGGAAAGTTCAATTCCAGGTAGGGCAAGGAGGTATTTCTAGAAATGACTGTGATGTAAAGACAAAAAGTATTAATACAACTTTGTTTTAAAAGAGAATAAGAAATAGGAAGGAAGGAGGGAAGAAGAAGGAAGGATGGATGGAAGGAAAGAAGGAAGGAAGGGAGAGAGAAAAGGAAGGAAGGAAGGAAAGAAAACTGTCTACTCAGTTAAGGTATCAATAAAGCAAAAACATTTCTGTTTCTTTGCCCAGTATTTGACTAATTTAGCAACTGCCACCAATTCTTTTCGTTTTCCTGTTAGAAGGGAAGAGCACATTCCTTTTCTTAACTCAGGCCTTTTTCACTACCTTCCTTTCAGTCTTGATTTGAAACAACCAATAAGTAATACTTGAGAACCATCATATTCCATGATTCATAGGATAACATCTGAATGTCCTGTTGTACTTAGAATTTTTGGTTAGAAGATTTGAGTCTAGAAACCCAGGTTCAAAGACCTCTGGTTCTATTCAAATATGCCAATTAATTGAGCATTTTGGAACTATGCCAGTTACCTCAACTAATACTCTGGTTCTAAGAACATTAAAACAATTCAATCTTTCTTTGATTGAATAGGTTTAAATAGTCAAATAAACTATAGGATTTACATATGTACATGTTTAGTATCCTAAAACATCTGAAAATTTTAGTGCTTTGTACCTGTAGCAAAAATCAAAAAACATTTCCCTCTCTCAAACAAAACAAAACAAAAACCCAACAATCCTAAGAAATTGAACAACTGTACACATGTAATAAATCTTGCTTCTGGAGAAAGGCTACATTTCTTTAAGTCACCTTTAAAGTCATCTAAGATTTAATTGGCATTAAATTTTACAAACATTTCTCTTTGATAAGTGTTTTCTTCTTCTTCCATATCCATTCTGGGGTTTCCCAAAGTGCTATATTTTATGGTTTTTAAATAAAAAACAACATTACCTGGTACTTCCTCTTGTGCCCAGCCTCCTGGTACCAAGATCCGGAAAAACTAAGTGCACAAGCTAAAAAGAAGGAAAAATCTGAAGTTGGTTGTCAGGATATTCATCAGACAGACCCAGCGCCCATTCCCCTCTAATATTTGTTTTTGTACTCTGTTGCATCTCATGAAAATACTTACAATTTCAGTCCTAAATACTCATCAAACAGCAGCCTACTAAATTACATTGCTCTTTCCCTTTCAGATCCTCTCAGCTGTTCTTTGCATTTAAATTCTATTTGATGTGACACTGTTACTAAGCAAAAGGATCCATTTAAAGAACACAATAACAACTGCCCAGAAACCCCTCAGTTTGCTCTAGTTTCCTAATTAGAAGAGGAACTTACTGCCAAGTGTGCCCTGGAAATGGAGAACTTGGAGTAGGAGGGTGCGGGCGGGGAGGTGGCTTTAAAAGGGGTGGGGGGATCAAAATAAAATAAAGCATCGAAGGAAGACCGTGAGGAAGCATCCAAAGGGGATCATGTTTCTTGTTTCTCCTACAATTCCCTCCATGCTCATGCAACATTCTTTTCTGTTTAGTTCCATGTTGCCTGACCTTTTTTTCGTTACCACTCCACACTGTGAGTTTCGACAAAAGCGCTGTGGATTCTATTTCCTCTCTGGCTCGTGTAAGCACCTGAAGTTTGGCCATAAGAAAGCAGGGTGTGAACCAGGGTAAATGCTGACATGTAGTGAGGGGAAATGAAAGGAGTTAGGGGCAATCAGGGATGATCTCTTTTTGTTTTTGTTTTTGTTCTTTAATGAGTAATAAGCTCCTAGAGGAAAACAAAAGAAGTCTAAAAAGAATAAGAGAAAAATTAGGAAACTAGAAAAAGAGAAGAATTAACTAGCTCTGAATGCAGAATTCTTCTGGTATAGTGGGGAAAGCACTGACTTGGAGTCAGAGGGTCTGAATTCAAACCTTGACTTTCAACAAGTCATATCACTTCTTCAGGCCTCTTTCCTCACAGAAGAGAACAGAAGGAAGCACAGAAGATAAGCAGAACAGTTTTTGGAAGCAATATGTGGAATTTATTCTCTATTTTAAAAAGCTGATTGGTGTAAAATAGAGATTCATGGTTTCATATAAAATCCCCTTTTTGTGTTCTACATTTTATATGGAAATGCTATTTTTTTCAGTGTTCAAAATTAAAAAAGGAAAAAAGGAAATGAAATTAAGAGGTAATCTGAAGGTATATAAAAAGAGTTGTTTTGTTGTTATTGATGATGATGATGATGATGATGACATAGCACTGAGGTATAGATGATATAGGTAATAATAGGTGGTGCAGTGGATAGACAGCCGGGCCTGGAATTAGGAAGACTCATCTTCCTGAGTCCAAATCAGACCTCCGATACTTATTAATTGTGTGACCCTGGGCAAGTCACTTAATCTTGTTTGCCACAGTTTCTTCATCTATAAAATGAGCTTGGGGAAGGAAATGGCACACTATTCTGATATTTTTGCCAAGAAAAACCCCCAAAAAATTTGCAAAGAATTCACAAAGAATCGAGTATGACTGATAATGACTGAACAAAAACATAGATAATACAATGAATAATCGAATTAACTAAAAAAAAAGATCTTGGCAAGCTGAAAGTATACCAAATCTAATAGTATGAATTATTAAGGATAAATATAAGGTCTTGATAAATATTAATGTAAAGATCTCCACATTAGACCTATTCTGAAACCTCCTCTGGGCATGTAGATTAGCCTGGGTTCTGAAAGCATATGCTAGCAGAACATAAGCTCTGACTGGTTCAGTGAAGTTATAAAATCCTCAAGTAGAGGTCTCACAATAGGCTATATGTCTACAAGGATAGATCATAGGATCATAGATTTAGACCTTGAAGAAACTTTAGAGGTCATCTAGTCCAACTCCCTTATTTCATAAATTACAAAACTGAGGCTCAAAGAGGCTTCTGCAGCTTCTGTGCTAATATCCACTGCAGGAGTCAAAGAAGGAAAGAAATTTCAGGAAGAACTAGGTAATCTCCTCTCAAATAAAGAGGCTAAGTGGTGTGCGTTAGGTTGTACAGGTAATAAGAGACAGAGCCAGGACTGGAACTCAGGTTCATTGAATCCAAATTCATCATTCTTTCCATTGTACCATGTTGCCTAAATATGGAAAGGTTAATTCATCACCAGAGATTTGGTCACCAAACAAAAGATTTGTTTTGGCCACAGTGATACATGCAGCAGTCAAAAATACAAAATAGCCTTCAGTCTTCTGTGAGCCCTTCCACTGCCACAAAGACAGTGGTGGAATGGTGGAAAGCACTTGTATTTTTAAACCACCTGAAAACAGAAATTTAACTGCTGGTTCTTTTTTTTGAGTTTAGGGTTTTTTTAGGTAATGGGGATTAAGTCGCTTGTCCAGGGTCACACAGCTAGTAAGTGTCTGAGGCTGCATTTGAACTCAGGTTCCTCCTGACTCCAGGCCCAGCACTCTATCCATCGTACCACCTATTTATCCCTGGTGCTCTTAATGTGCTATTTTTGTCCAATGACCAATGGGGTTGACACACTGTTCAGGGAATTATTATAATGAAACTATGTTATAGTGGGGATTCCTTTTTTAGACTAAATGTCTTCCTTTGCAGACTAAATTCTGCTTTAAACACAAATTTAAATTCTGCAATTCTTTGAAATGAACACTATCCATAATAGCATTCTATTAATGAAATGAACCTGGAAGACATGAAGATGTTATGATTAAATGTAAGGATGGCTGGTAGGTTCTCCTTGGAAAAGAAAAGAAAATATTTGGTAGAAATGGTTTCATTGTGCACCTAAAGGTAACAAGACATCATTTCATGGGATACTTAGACATCTCTCCCTCCTGTGCTCACAATGAGCACAAAGTAATCTATCATCACAGAGATAATGGCAGTTTCTGCACCAAAATCCATTGCAGGGTCAAAGAAGTAGAGGTATTATGTGAAGAAATGGATAATATTTTTCAAAATAAGTTAATATATAAATTGAGACTCAGTGACTTCGATGTCAAATGGGTACAGGGAAGCATCTTATCTTTTCCCATAGCTGTTGGAAAATATTCATTCAATGTCAGGATTAAGAAATCAAAGAAACCAAAAGCTAAGATCACTAATTATTACTAAATGTGTCTGTGGATTATAGATTAAGAAACCACCATATGTGGCAAGAACTATCACAAAAAAAAAGAAAGAAGTTAACTATATTTTAATAGGCAAGCAAAGTTAGAGATATAGCAGTCACTTCAGGATTAGCTCTCTGTCTATACTCAGATTGTGTACTAGTTGGACTGAATGTCAAAGTAAGCATCAAATTAGAAGACTAAAAATGAGAAGACACTGTATGCAATCACAATTTCAATTTAATCTATTTAAATGAGCTCATCACTTTGAAACATAGGCAATGGATAAGATTAAAGACATTGGTTCTAATATCCTTTCTTTCTTATCCATTTGTCCACAGAATTTTTACAAAGAGTTCCTTTGCAGATCAAGGCCAGCAAATGGAAAAGCTCCCTGGTGATGGGTGTAGGGAGAATTAAAAGGATATCTGCCAAATCCAGGACTTTATATAGGTCAACAATCAACACAAATTTATTAAGCACACATTATATGCTAGGTACTATTCCAGGCACAGTAGGCACAAATAAAAAAAAAATGAAATGCTCCCTACTGGCAAGAAGTTTTTGGACTAAGGAACAGAGGAGACAAAGACATGTTTAGGCTTTAGCAATACCAAGTCCATGGTGAGCCCCCATCCTGTGTCCTCTCAGCTACTACACTTGATGTGGACCCTACGTGTTTTAATGCCAGTAGAGAAGGGTATAATAAGCTTTATTTTTTTTGTCTGGGGTGGGGTTGAGGGGTGGGGGTTTGGGGACTCAGGAGCGAGAGAGTCTCTCTTTATGCCCTGGATTGAGTTGCTTTTATTTTCTTACACTTCCAGTACATACTATAGACTAAAGACAAAATCAATTTTAAAGTGGACATAATCCTTCTCTCTAATAGGGGAGACAAGTACATTTTGTTGATGTTCAGTTGTTCGGCTATGTTGAACTCTTCATCACCCCATGGACCACAGTACACCAGGCCCTTCTGTCCTCCATTGTCTACCGAAGTCTGTCCAAGCTCATGTTTCTTGCTTCCATGAAATGATTTATCCCTCTCATCCTCTGCCATACCCTTTTCCTTTTTCCTTCAGTCTTTCCCAACATCAGGGTCTTTTCCAAAGAGCCCCATCTTGTCATTATGAGGCCAAAGTATTTAAGCTTCAGCTTCAGTATTTGTCTTTCCAATGAATAATCAGAGTTAATTTCCTTAACTGTTAATTGATCTGATCTCCAATAAGTACATACATAAATATACGTAGAATTAAAATTAAGAGAATAAATACAAAGTATTTAAATACAAGATAGGCTGGTAGTTAAGGCTTTAGAAGTTGGTGGGTGGGAATCAAGAAAGGTTTCATACAGAAGGTAGTATATAAATTGCATTGTAACCCCTGTCCCAAAGCCCATTGGTATGGCCTCCCTCCTGGTTGGTGGAGATGAATGCCCTAAGCTGTTTGAGGGATGGGATGGAATTGTCAAGGCAGGAGAGTTCCATACTTCTTCAGTCCTCTTTGGGACTCTTCAAGCTCCATTTTTCTTCGGCATTCTTCAAGTTTCGAGTCATTTTGGGAGCTTCTGGCTTCCAGCTCTAAGAAGGAAGGTGGAAGAGGCCAACCCTACTTTAAGTTGTTGAAGTAAAAGACTCTAGGAAGACATGAGAGGAGCTGGCAGTTCCATGATGTCTGACCTCCAGCTTACTATCCCAGAGGCTCTGGGGAGTTCCCCTTAAGGACACTCTCTCTTGATTAAATTGAACTATCTCACTCTCAATGGGAGAGCCCTTTCACTCTGTATTGTCTGGTATATACTCTCCTACATATACCTTCTCATTTCTTTTTTGCCATGATTTGGATAAATTGATTTCTTCACTATTCACTATGTTCACTGTGGAATTGGTATGCAGTAGGAAAGGGACGCACAGCCTTGGATACAAAGCTTGGGGTCCTTCTACCCTCCCCCCCAATAGTGACAAAGTGATCAGAAGTTAGATGGAACCCAATCATATCCCCTAGACTAACAACATTTAAGGAAGCAGATAGATATGTTCTAGTCTGGTACTCCCTCTCTCTGAGGAGGACAGAGTGGCCTGTGATCCTAACCTCCTTTCTCCTCCTGGCAGGAATGAAACTCTCCCTTGGAGTAGGGCAGGGAGAGAACAGGCTAGAAATTCTATTCTGCCTTCCTTCAAGACCTCTCTACACTTGAGGTCAGCCCTACAGCCACCTGAAGGAAGAGAAGGGTGGGAGAAAACCAGTGAAAAGACATAGAAATATAAGATGGATGTAAGGAACAGAAATGAGCCCAGTTAAACTAGATTACAGACCTAGATGGAGAGTAAAGTCCAATGAGGCTGGAAAAATAAGTGAAGAGCAGACTGTGGAGGGCTTTAAAAGCTTAAGAGAGGTGTCTAATTTTATCCTAGAAGCAATAAGGAGTCACTGGAGCTGAAGGAGGACAGGAATTATGTGATCAGATTTTTAAAACCTAAAAGAATAGAGAAATATTTATTGCTTGCTCTCTTGATCAAAGGGTCTTTAAAGGTCTACATCCTTTTCCTGCAGGCAGAGTTGGGTGTGGTGTATACCATCTTTCATTCAACAAGCATTTGTTGACCACCTACTATGTGCCAGGCAGATAGTGATAAAGATACAAAAAAAAAAAAGAAAAAGAAACTTTTCTTTTCACAAAGAGTTTAATTCTATTAAGGGAAACCATATGTACTTAGCAAATTAAGTATATACAAAGAATATATACAAGTATGTATTAAGTATATATACAAAGCAATTTTCAGAGGGAGGGCACTAGCAACTGGAAGGAATTAGTAGGGATAGAAAGGCTTGGCTTCCTGAAAGAAATAATAATAGCTATAATAGAGAACTAATATAACACTCCAAGGTTTACAAAGAGCTTTGAAATATTATTATACCCACAACTGTTAGGTTAGAAAGTTAGGTACTATTATCTTCATTTTATAGATGAGACAACTGAGACAGGTAGACCTTAGTTGACTTGCCCAAGGTCACACAGCTTATAAGTGCCTGAGGCTAGATTTGAATTCAGGTCTTTCTGACTCCAAGCCCAGTTATCTAGCCTAGACACTAAGCCTTGAAGGAAGCTAGAGATATTATGAGGCAGACATGAATAGGAACCTGGGGGACAGTCTGCACAAAAGCATTAAAAAGGGAGGTAGACTGCTGTGTACAGAGAACAGCAAACATTTTGTCTAGAACATAGAATGCATAAAAGAGAGTGATATGCAATAAGACTGAAAGAAAGTTGGCTAAAGCCCGATTATGAAGGGTTTTAACAACCAAGTGGAGGAAAATATTGTATTCTGGAAGTAAGAGGGGAGACATTGGAGCTTTTTGAGCCGGGAAGTGACATGGTCAGTCCTGTCGGTTAGGAGTATCAACTTGGTATCAGTGGAGGGGAGAAATTGGATGTGATGGCAAGTACAATCCAGTAGGGGGCAACAGTGAACCATGTTTAGGGACATGTTGGCGAAGGTGTAGAGTAGCTCCTTCATGTGGGGCCTTGGGCATAGTCTGCCTGTAGCCCTCCAGGAGGAGACTAGGCTTATTAGTGAGGTTGATATGAACCAAGGGAATTAAGGTCATGTGATGGGAAGAATGCTGGATCTGGAATCAGAGAATATGGGTTCAAATCCCAGGGCTTGCTCCTCACTACCTGTGTGATCTTGGGAAAAATCATTTCACCTCAGTGAGCCTCACTTTCCTCACCTGTGAAATGAGAAGATTCTATGAGATGAGTTGTAAAGTCCTTTCTAACTCTAAATTTATGATCCTATGATTTAAGAGAGCATCAATATTTTTTTAGCTGATGAATTGGAGAAGAAAGACAGTAGGTGGGGAGATCCATTAGGAGGCTATTAAAATATTGCAGGTTTGAGTAGGCAAGAGCTTGAACTAGAATGACTGCAGCATGCCTGGAGAGAAGGGGATGGGTGTGAGAGATGTTAATGAGGTAAAATAGGTGAGACTTGGCAACTGACTAGATGGGGGTGGGGGAAATGAGAGTAAAAAGATGAGAATCACTTCAAGTTGCAAACCTGGGTGACTGGAAGAATGAGAATAAGCTCAACAGAAATAGGGTAATTAGGACGGGGATTGGGTTTGGGCAGAAGGAAATTAGACATGTGGAGTTTGACATGCCCATGCTACATCCAAGTGGAGATGCACAAAGAGGCAGCTGGTCATTCAGGAGGGGGGTTCAGGAGGAAAAAGGATGGTAGATTTGGGAGTAGTTTGCATAGAGCTGATAATTTAACTATGGAGAGTTAATGAGATAAGCAACTCAGAAAATGGAAAGAGAAAAAAGTAGAGGGCTTCCCCTCCCCCACAGAGCCCTGTTCAAAAAAGGATGCAAAGGAAGATTAGTCATTCACATATTGATATAAAATTAATTGGGTTAAATTGTTTTCCTCACAGATAAGGAAATAGGAATTTTGCCCCGGGAGGAAGGATCTAAGTCTGAATCCCAGCTCTCTTCCTTTCAGGGCAGCAGATATCATGTCAACCCAGGAGTCAAGAACACTGAGTTCAAATCCAACCTCAGACACTAGCTGTGTGACCCTGGGCAAGTCACTTAACCCTGTTTGCCTCAGTCTCCTCATCTGTAAAATGAGCTGAAGGAAATGGCAGACCATTCCAGTATTTTTGCCAAGAAAATCCCAAATGAGGGTCAGGAAGAGTTGGACATGACTGAACAACAAAAAAAAAATCTGGTCCTTTTAAGTACTATGTAACCCTGGGCAAAGCACTTCATTCCTTTCCTCATCTGTCAAATGGAGGGGTTAGATCTTTAATGTTCCTTCCAGTTCTAAAACCTATAATCTTGTGATTTCATTAATGTGAATATTACTTCCAGTGGCACAGTCCACCCCTGCTTTCTCACTCTCTACAATTCTTGCCAGTAGAGCCATTGTGGCTATGCCTCCCTTGGCTCCCTTCCTTCTCCCTTCTCTGTGAAGAAATAGGGTGTCTTTGTGAATTTGGGGGGTACAGTTGTGACAGGCTATATTAACTTGGTTAAGGTAAATACTTTTGGCTTTGGGTGGGTGGTTATAGAAGTGTGTGTGGATACTGTCAGGGCCAGAGGTGTATCAGGTACATTTTGCCAATTAGCAGGATCAGGGCACTACTGATTGCAAACCTACCAATTGGCCAAATACATAGAATTGCAAGCATGCCTAGCCAAAGCCCACACACAGCACCCTGGGCCAAAGGTGTCATTCTGGATTGGGGCAGCCCCAGGTAGCTCTGGGATTCTGGTTAGAGCAGATTTGAGGCCAGAAGGCATTAGGCCCAGTCAGATGATGAGTACTGGTTGCCACACATTAAGTCACTCTAATGGCAGCAGAAGAGGTACTTAGTGCCTACTGAACCCAAAGACCCAAAGTCATCACAGACTTCCCAAATGGTGCTACATGTGCTATGAGTCTGGGGGACTGAGTGAACCTAGACGCAGAAAAACTAACGGGGGGGGGGGGCAGGGATCAGGAAGGGTAAGGGTGGAATCCAGACACCACCTGTTCTCCTGGCTGCCTTCCCAAGAGGGTCAACACTCCAGCAGAGCACCCTGACATGCACAGAGAAAGGCAGGCCACCAGGGATTGGGGCTGGCTGGCTACATCCAGAATCCTGTCTCCTTCACATTCTCTTTTCATAATGATTGCTCTGTGCTTGCTTGCAGAAGGGTGAGGGGCTAGTCGCTTTCTTTCTCCTTAAATACCCTGACTGAATGCAGCTGTGGCACTCACCCAGCAAAATAACCCCACCTGCTGCCTTCCCAACAGCTGCCTTTTCCCTTTGTTCTCATGTAGACTTTGGAAGCTGAGAGCTGCCCATTTACTATGAAAACACTTTGTTAGAACTCTGGTTTTCTTATATCCCACTGACATGTTGTAAACTTGACTCTTCTTCATAAATAAATACCCCTGCATAAACCTTTAAGGTAGCTCAGATTTAGAAAGGGGTATATATTCCAGAGGGCTGGCATAATGGCAAACTCATCGGGGTAGGGGTGAGGGGAAAATTCATGGGTGAGAACTTTTCAGGCAGAACTAGTTGAAACAATTGACCTGTATAAGCCAGTGAAGTGTTAAAACAGCAGGAGTGGGTCTGGGGCACAGATGGATTACTGAAATTTATGAGCTACTGGCCAGTGGCGAAAGGAGATCTCCATTTCATATTCTCAACTATGTCCCCAAAGCTGCCTCTCTGTGCACATTCCAAGGTGGCAGAAATTATTTACCATCTCTTGCCTATACCTATGTAAGTTTTCCCAGTGGGTGATGAATCGGACTCACTAAGGGCAAATTAAACTTATCAGACTAATAACAAGTATAAATTCTCATGTCAACTCTGGGAAAAAAATAAAACCAAAAAACCCCTCCGTTTTCTCCTGAGGAATTCTCTTTTTCTCACCTTTACAACCTACCTTCCCAAATGTAGCTGGGTTCACTTGATTCTGAGCATTTTGTCCACAGGTCTCCACATATATCTCATACATTAGACAACGGGGAACACTGTAACCTTCACAAATGCAGAAATTATCAACTAACCTTGAGAAGGGGAGGGTACAAGAAAGAAAACAATGACATCAGTTTCTCTAAAGAAGAAAGTTGGATTAAGAAAAATGACACCGAGACATAAGCAAGTGGGATCCAAACAACATCTATATCTCAGTCAATATATTCTATGGGTTTCAGCTAATATCTACCAAACAATGAAGTGAATTGAATTGAACTACCTAATGTTATTATTTATATTCACTTATTCATCCAGTAACCATTTGTTAAGCCGCCTAGTGTTTGCAGAGCTATGCTAGCATCTGGGGAAGGTCCTTGTCCTCATGCAGCTTGAGCTTATTAAATCAACGCTTCCATCCTCAGTTAAATTAGTGTGAAAAACAAATCCCGTGTGTTTGAAATCGAACTAGTCAGGGTTATAATTATGTAAAACATGGTCATGGCTCCAGCCCAATGGAAATATGCGGTGTGTATTAGAGTCTTTCAAAATATACATATGTACACGTAGTAAAGATTTTAAAACCCTTCAAAAATTAGTATGTGGGAGGGAGGAAGTAATACTAAAGAGAGGCACAACTAATTTATCACTTTGCCAGGTTTAACAAACACCATTTTGATATGCCCCTAATAAAAATTAAATCATAAAATTGACAACTGAATCTATTAGTGGATATTAGCCACAATAGTAAATGCAATTATCAAATACCTACTAGTAGAGATATATGCCAAATAGATTATATACTGTTCCAAGATCCATTTCTCTTGTTCTGCCTGACTCACACTCCTGGATAGTTTGTACTATGGCCCAGTGGGGCCCAGGACTCTTCTTCTACAACTAAGCATTTGAAGTTGCCCTCCCCGCAGTTCCTCAGCCCATGCTGTAATAAGATGCATTAGAATGTGATTGCACTATTTACATTGCAGGGAAAAAACTACTTGACTAATACCTGAACACTGGCTAGTATCTTGGGGGGGGGGGAGTAGCAAATTCATGAACCACTGTTCTGTTTGCATTTCTATTGGAAATGATAATTACTTGTTAATCTTAGAAAGACCTCATGCCTTGAATTCAGCTCTAGAAAACTCTTATCCTAAGGCATGAGCAGTGAAATGCAACATGAGAATTCAAATACACTTGTGAAAATTGAAATACATTTTCATTTTTTCATGTATACTACTAGTTTAATCAAAGCAAACATCTTAATGAAAATGTGTCAACGATTAGCCTTAGCAACAGAAATGTAAACAGGATTCTCATTAATTTGTTGATTGTTCTTCTTTCCTATGAACTTCAGCTAGCATTGAGTCTCTCTCTACGATATATTTTGTTGTTCTTCATTTTCAAATATATCATAATATTAACAAAGATGATCACATTTTGGGTGTTCGGGGATGGATGAAAAGCCTATTTTATGAAAAATAACAGTTTCTGTATCAGCTATGAATGACTCAGCTACTCTCAGCAATACAATGATCCAAGACAACTTTGAAGGACTTATGATGAAAAATGCTTTCCATCCCCACAGAAAGAACTAGTGGTGTCTGAATACAGATCGAAGCATACTTTATTTGCTTTCTTTATTCTTCTTGAGATTTTTTTTTTTGGTCTATGATTTCTTTCACAGCATGACTGTTATGGAAATGTATTGCCTGACTACACATGTATGACCTATATCGAATTGCTTGCCTTCTCAATAAGGGGTGGGGGCATGAGGGGAAGAATGGAAAGGGAAGAAGGGAGAAAATTTGAAATTCAAAATTTTAAAAGTGAATGTTAAAAATTGTTTTTACATGTAACTGGGAAAAAATACTAAACCAGAAAAAAATAATAGACATTTAATAGGATTGTCTTACAAGGTGCAGGTGATCTTGGCATATTTGGTGACTCCATCTTTTCAATATATTTATTCTGAAATAGTCATCGTCTTCCCAACTGCTGCCTTCCAGATGGCAAACTTTTGGATACTGGTGACTATGTCTGTGTCTGTGTCTGTGTTGGTGTCCATTCAGTAACTCCCATGTTTACAATAGTGCCTTTGCTATATTAGGTACTTGAGAAGTGTTGCTTAATGAATGAGCTTATCTGTCCTTGATATTTGCAATGGCTATATATGTATCCATTCAGTAAATTCCACAACACTTATAATAGGGTCTTGGCTCTATTAGGTATTTAATGGGCTCCTTGAATGAAAGGGGCAGCTAGGTGGCTAAGTGGATAGAGTACTGGGCTTGGAACCAGAAAGCTCATCTTTGTGAGTTTAAATCTGGCCTCAGACATTTACTAGCTGTGTGACCCTAGGCAAGTCACTTAACCCTGTTTGCCTCAATTTCCTCACCCTATAAAATGAGCTAGAGAAGGAAACGGCAAACCACTCCAGTATCTTTGCCAAGAAAACCCTAAATGGGGTCACAAAGAATCCAACATGACTGAAATGACTCAATGACAAATTGAATGAAAGAGTCTGCCCTTGATATTTCTCAACAGTCCCCAGGTAAGGTCACAATGTCTTTCATCTACCAGGTGTTCAATAATTGTTTGTCCAACAAATATATTACTGGCAGGAAATTGTGCTTATCTATCCCCAGTTAATTTTTCTTCAGCTTCTTTTGTTCTCTCATCCCATTTTGTCTCTTCTATTGAACAGCATCTTGGGTTTATGGTGATTATTCTTTTTCCATACATGCCCAGCCATCAATGGTCATATTGACTTTTGTCTTATCACTGGATTTGTATGATTCTGGAGGAGAAGGTGAGGCTGATGGCTTTGAGCAGCTCGGTCTCACTTAAATCCAAGTCATGAGCAAGTTAAGACATCCCCTCATGATGTCATTGATTCTCTTCAAAGGACAAACAACAATAGCATGTCCCACCCACTGGAGTGAAGGAGTAGCATGAATTACTCCAGTGCTAGAAGCCTGGCCTATTTAGTTGTAGATGAATTGTCTTGGCAGCGAGTATTAAATATGGCTCCACTGTGCTAGTGCTTAAGCAGCATCATGGGGAGTACTTGGGCAAGAATGCTAAGATGTGAAAAATCAATCAATCTAACAGGACTGGAAAGCTCCAGGACTTCCTGCAGATGTCAGCATTTACAGGAGTTTGACACTGAACTCTCCAGAGCCATCTGGAGAGGAAACCTGCTGTAGTGGGAAGACCATTGGACTTGGGTCAGATAATTCTGGGATGAAGAGACCTTAGCACCTGGCCATTTTTTTTTCTTATCTGTAAAACTGAACTAGTAATTGCATTATTTACCTCACAGGGCTCTTGTGAGGATCAAATAAAACCACACATATAAAATGTCTTTTTTCCTCCTCATCTGGATATGTGATTTTATAGGTGGAGATCTAGGGAACTTCTACATGAGGAAACTCCCTTTACCGATGCAAATTGGTAACTATTCTGCAATCCAGTCTTCCAAAATTATCAGGAGTCATCGAGAAGTTAAATGTTTTACCCATGGTCACCTAATCTATGTGACAGACTTTGAATCCAAATGTTCCTGAATCTAAAGCTGACTCTGTCTATATGTTGTGCCGCGCTATCACGTGTTATAAAATAACTGTTGGCTATTATTATTAGGCTATTTTATGATATGTTGGCTCTGTTGCTAATAATCGTTAGCATTAATATATACCACTTTGCAAAACACTTTACATGTATTAACTCATTTGATTTCCATCACAACCTGTTGAGATAGCTGCTTTTATGGGGCAGCTGGGTAGTGTAGTGAATAGAGCACCTAGGTAGCGTAGTGAATAGAGCACCGGCCCTGAAGTCAGGAAAACCTGAGTTCAAATCCAGCCTCAGACATATAACACTTACTAGCTGTGTGACTCTGGGCAAGTCACTTAACCCCATTGCCTAACCCCCCCAAAAAAAAACCACAGATAGCTGCTTTGATTTTCCCTATTTTACAAATTTTACAAAAATCCCTATTTCACAAATGAAACTTGCTCTTAGAATTAGCAAGTGTCTGAGGCCAGATACAAACTCAGTTCTTCCTCATGCCAAGTCCAGGGTTCTAATCCCTACAACATCAAGCTGCTTCAAGAGCTTAGAATGTATCGGGTTAATCATTCAATGCCATGCATAGTTGCACAAATTAAATATTTTTCAAGTTCCACCACCAGACAATGCTGTTATCAGTAAGATGTCATTGCTGAGGCTGAGATGCATTCGTGAGCTCTTCATCTTTTTTTTTTTTGGTAGGTGAGACATGTGTTGATGTTTGTTAACTATTGTCTGGCACGTGCTCCCCAAGTCAGATGAGACCACTGGCAGTTCATACCTCCCTAATCCCAGGACATCTGAATGATTCTTCTACACATTGCCTCCACATGCAGTGAAATCCCCCATTGTGCTCAGTTGGTGCCAGACATTGGCCCTGTTATAATGAGACTGTCCAGATCTCTGAAGAATCTGTATTACTCCTTGTCATAATTCAATATAGAAGGGGGTATGTGGGCTGATAACAGTGGCCTAAAGTCATCAGATGTTCATTAATATCTCTAAGCCAATTTGTGAGTCTTGAGACAAGTGACTGTCTAATTAACAAACTAACCCCTGCTATTATAATTCCAAATACAGAAGAGTTCTCCTAATCAGCCCATCACTGCTCTTCATTCCTTCCTGCAGAAGTCTGGTTTTATTGAGACTTTGTGTCTGGATAGTTTACAATGCAAATAATGCCATTCTTTCTAGATGCTTGCTCTTGTCATCGGTAGTGTCCTCCATGACACAGCAGCTTTAGTCCCTTAGCATTAGGTAAATTGGTAGTAGTTTCATAGCCCCTGGATTAAATGCACAATGTAAGCAAACACACTCTATTATCAAAGACTGAAAGCATGAAGACTAGACATCTATTATAAAACCATTTTCTCCCATTTGGGCAAATAACGTAACACTGAGGAGGAGGGCAGGTGCTGAAACTGTTAGAAGGTGTAAGATCTTTCACATTAATATTCCATCACCTCTGATCATGCTACAAGTCTCCCCCAAGGCAGAGTTTGTCATCATTGTTGTTCAGTCATTTCAGTAATGTCCAATTCTTTGTGACCCCATTTGGGGTTTTCTTGGCAAAGATACTGGAATAGTTTGCCATATCCTTCTCCACTGTCATCATTATGCACTGTTCGTTCATTTGTGAAGAGACTTGTCGGTTCCTGCCAGGAACCCTCTTTCTACTAATAAAGAGCATCTATTTGTTTTCGACTGAAAGTTGCCCTAGGGCTACTGAGGGACTAAATGAATTGTTTAGGGTCACAAAACACATGTGGCAAAAGCCAGATTTGAGCCCAAAGATCTTCTATGCACTACACTATGTTGACCTGCATCTGAATTCTGCTAGCTAAATTTACTTCCTCTAAAGCAGTTTCTTGCAGGTAGCAGCCGAACTGGATATTTCTAATTCAGATACCACATGTGACAGATGTGGAACCTGAACTCAGGTCTTCCTAACTTTAGGGCTTGCTCTCTATCTGCTAGGGCAACACTCTCTCATTAAGTTATTCATTGTTGTGCAAACATGTGCACTGGGCACCCACATGACATGACTGTAATAATCCAAAAACAGGCTATATTTTCCCCAAATCTGACTTGTATAGAACCTGAGTCATATGACCATGTTCTGAGTGCCATAAGTTCTGAAAAGCTTACCTCCAGTTGACTCCAATATACAAAACTCTGATTTTTACTACAATGAATTGTCAACTGGTATTTTATTATTAAAGAAAGTCTCATGAAAGACAAATGGAAGGTTCACTCACTTGGAAGTGTAATTTTTATATAAATCAACCAATGATTCATATAGCTGTCTCCCCCCCCCAACCCCCATCAATGCAGCTTATATTTGGTGTTAAGATCAATGTGATACCCCCTAGAGCATTAACTTTTTCAAGCCCTCAGAGCATGACTACTCTGAAAGAGTTCTTCGTAAATGGTGCTTTTGCGACTAGAAAAGAATTAACAACACAGCTTTCATAGGTTATAGTCCTAAGAAATAGCTGACCACAAACTGTGCTCATAATTTTTAGGTTAGGACAGTGTTTCCCAAACTAATTTGCTCCAGGGGTGTTTTGGGACAGTAAATAGATGGAGAACCCATAAATGTTGCTTACAGGGGCTTGGGAGGGTAGGGAATTTTCCCATGGACAATGGAAGGGTCATTATCATAGTGTCACAGTACTATAGGTCCAGATTTGGAAGGGCCTTTAGAAGCCATCTAGTCCAACGTGCCCATTTTAAAAAAGTGAAATCCAAAGGCAAGTAGCTTACCCAAGTTTACAATGCAATTAAGAGTGGAAGAAAGGATCTGAACCTAGAAGGTCTTCTGATTCCAATCTCTGCTCCTTCCATTGTAGGAGGGAATCAGAGAAATTATCACAAAATATATTTTCATAATACATAGTTTCATATTGTAAAGGGAAAAATAGCATTAGTTTCAATATGTTCTCATGGATCCGCTATTCACACAATGCTCCACAGAATCATTTGGGAAATGCTGGGTTAGTGAGTGCACAGTGCCTGGCACATAGTAGGTCCTTAACAAATGTTTATTGATTGATTACAGGAGTGCTGTGTGATACTATACTGTACTGTTTCTTTTTCTGATGAAATTTCATCAAAAGGGGGCAGCATTGTGTTACAGTAGAGAGAGATCCTAGTCTTGTCATTTACAGGACCACTGCCGAGTCATTAAACTTCCTCAAGACACAGTTGACTCACTGCTAAAGGAGGGATGATAGTATTCAAACTTTGAACTTCACTGGTTTGTTATTGAGGAAAGTGCTCTGTAAACCTTGAGGGGTTATATAAATGTAATTGTTATTTTTTTTCTCTTTTTATCTCAGATAGGATGAAATTTTCTTTTTTTAAACTTGACTGGCAGTAAAAGACCTTTCAGTCATCCCCAAATTAGTCTCTAGCACATGTACAGAAGACATGTCTTTCATTTTTTCTTCACAAAATGAGCTTAAAAATCTGTGACAGGTCAGTTTTTCTCAAACGAATATGTCTTACAACTATTTTTTAAAAATCTATTAAACCCTATATTCACACAAGAAATACACACTAAAGTTTGGGGGCTGGTTTCAATTATTTTTCTATTTATATAAGAGCTATACAGCTCAGAATTGTGGATTAGTCTCACTGAAACTTTTTTCTTTTTTTAGAGCTTTTTCTGCCTCCTATTAAATTTCAAAAGGCAGAAATGAATTTCCAAAACAATTTGTTATATACCATTAAATCTAAAAAAACCTGTTATGCTGAAGTTAGAAAATACCCATTTTAAGACGTCATACTTCAAGGCCACATTGCTTTCCCATATTGCAACCTGAACCCAGATGTATGTGCAAAAATAAGTGATTCTCCTCTCCCCAATTCCACCCCACACTGTGTGGTTTGAGATTACTTTCCCTGGGAGATCCTACCTTTGGGGAAACACTATATTTTTATATAGGATGTGCCAAAAGTCTTAGTGCAGACTTAGTTATTGTAGCTCGATATATTGTTTGATTTTTATTGTTGATGAATGGACCCTAGGTTTTTGCATTCTCTCTTGTTCATACCAAGCTATTCTACAAAGGACTGGGGAAGCTGTGAGGAGTGTGTGGGAATCTTTTCCTCTTTCCCTTCCCAAATCACTCTTAAAATACATACATAATATTGCAATAAACATTATATAACATATATGATAACGTATATATTATTGTATTATAATATATAATAGAAAACTATATAATATAATAAACTAGGCAGTTTCGAGGGTCACCACTTATTCACAACACCCTTGAGAACAGAAGTATAACTAGGATTCTGCTGGACCCAGAACTGCGACTTAGAGCAAGTCTGAGCTTGGCACAGCTGTGGCCACTGCTGGGCAGCTGCGCTCCCGCTCACCACTGGATGATGCTGCTATGCAGGCTCCTGTTGCTGCTACTGCTGCAGCTGGCGCTGCCGCTACCACCGCTGCCACCACTGCCGCCGGAGGGAATTCCCCGTGTACCCTCCGCCATGCCAGGCGGGTCCCGGGGCGAAGGGAGGAAAGGAGAGAATGGGGCAGGAGTGGCAGCGCTTCTGCCCTCACCAAGGCTGAACTGGGCTGGAGCTGCCGGCCCCACGGTTGTTTACTTTAGAGTGGAGCGCGTGGGGGGTGGGGTTGGGGGCAGAACGTTGTCTCGAGGTGCCCCCAGGTCCCATCCACCCGGTCAGTGGGCAGCCCACCTCCCTCTCCTCTCCCTGCAGTATTTCTCTCGGGGTACTCGTCACAGATTCCCAGAAAGTGCTGGAAGACTTGATATAAACGTTAGTCAGTCTCCATTCAACAATTCAACTCAATTTGCACTTTCAGAAAAAGAAATCACATTTACATACTAATAGGAGATTGCATTCTTTTAACCTAAGTGATATGGGGAGCAGATACAGATAAGGAGAACAGAGCTATGTGTGGAGTAGAATTAAGATATTTTGAGACCTTAAATTAGGTATGTTAAGTATAAACACACACACACACACAAATAAATGTTTAAAGAAAAAATAGAATAAAAAGCAAAAGCTTTTGCTTTTAAAAGAAAATCAACTCAACAAACACTGGGGGGAAAAAAACAGGCAGAAAATGAAAGTCTCTGCTCTCAAAGAGCTTCAGAACACAAGAAAGAAAAATTCTCCTCTCTTGAAAACTCTGAAACCATCCATCAGTTACAGGGGGGCAGGAAAAGGTGATTCATGGAAGCCAATATGACCTACTCTGTGCTTCCCACTGTCAGACAATCAACAAAAGTTTATTAAGCTTTACTATGTGCCATGTACTATACTAAGCTAGGACGCTGCCACACTTGTACCTTTCAAATGTACCTCGCCTTAATCATTGAATGATTTTTGCCTCAGACAAACTGAGACCTGGGAAAGACCTTAGCTTAAAAGGCCAAGGTCTTTTTGCATGGGGGCCATCTCTAGTCCTGATGTATGTCTTGCTGTTGGACCTACATGGTTCTGGAGAAAAGAGCAAGTGAGGCTGGTGGCCTTGCACAGCCCTGCCTTAAATCCAATTCACTGGCAAGTCAAGACATCACCTTCCTGATGTCATTGGCCCTCTTCAAGAATGAAGGACAAATGCAACCAAGATTAGGAGGGAAGCAGAAAACTGGGAAAGAATTTTTACAACTAGTGTCTCTGATAAAGGCCTCATTTCTAAAATATTTAGAGAATTGAGACAAATTTATAAGAATACAAGTCATTCCCTGATTGATAAATGGTCAAAGGATATGAACACACAGTTTTCAGATGAAGAAATTAAAGCTATTTATAGTCATATAAAAAAATGCTCTAAATCACTATTGATTAGAGAGAAGCAAATCATAACAACCCTGAGGTACCAATTCTGACCTATCAGATTGGCTAACATGACAAAACAACATGATAGATGTTGGAGAAGACGTGGGGAAATTGGAACACATGCATTGTTGGTGGAGTTGTGAACTGATCCAACCATTCTGGAGAGCAATTTGGAGCTATGCCCCTAGGGACATAAAAATGTACATACCTTTTGACCCAGCAATACCACTTCTAGGTTTGTATCCCAAAGAGATCATACAAATGGGAAAGGGACCCACATGTACAAAAATATTCATAGCAGCTCTTTTTGTGGTGGCCAAGAATTGGAAATTGAGAGGATGCCCATCAATTGCGGAATGGCTAAACAAGTTGTAGTACATGAATATAATGGAATACTATAAGAAATGATGAGCAGGCAGACTTTGGAAAAACCTGATGCTGAGTGAAATGAGCAGAACCAGGAGAACATTGTACAGAGTAACAGTCATATTGTGTGATGACTAACTTTGATAGACTTATCTCTTCTCAGTAATGCAAGTGTCTAAGACAACTCCAAAAGACTCGTGATGGAAAATGCTGTCCACATCCAGAAAAAGAACTATGGAGTCTGAATGCAGATCAAAGCATATTATTTGCTCTTTCTCTCTCTTTTTTTTTTGTTTCTTCTTTCTCATGGTTTCTCCCATTGGTTCTAACTCTTCTTTACAACATGACTAATGTGAAAATAGGTTTAATATGAATGTATATGTTGAGCCTATATCAATTTACATTCTGTCTTGGAGTATGGGGAGAGGAGAGATGGGGAGAAAATTTGGAACTAAAAATCTTATAGAAATGAATGTTGAAAACTAAAGATAAAAAAATTATTTAAAAAAAAAGAACGAATATCAAACAAAAGCAACCTTTCAAATGCTATTTAGAGCAGAATGTGGGCTTCTCTGTCATTCGTGCTCCTTCTCATAGTGCCCTTCTTTCTGTATATTTATTTTGTATGTGTTCCGTATGTACTTACATACTGATAGAAGCAATATGGCATAATGCCTGTCAAGGTGACCTCAAAATCTAAGATCTGGATTCAATTTTCACCTATGATTTTGTGACTCTGGACAAGGCACTAAGCCTCACAAACCTCTAAAGTTTAGAGTCTATGAATTTTCTGAGACCATAAGCTACAAGCAAGATGTTCATCTGCATTGGTAACAGTTTCCTTATCTAAGATTTCCTCTACCAGCTGTTTTCAAGCTTTTTAGTCTTTGGACTCCTTTATACTGTCGAAAACTATTGACCCTCCAAAGAGCTTTTATATGTGTGTGTGTGTGTGTGTGTGTGTGTCTATAGGAAGTTAGGTGACACAGTGGATAGAGTACTGGGCCTAGAGTTAAAATTTGGCCTCATACACTTATTAGCTCTGTGACACTGGGTAAGTCACTTAACCCTGTTTGCCTCAGTTTCCTCATCTATAAAATCAGCTGGAGAAGGAAATGGCTAATCACTCCAGTATTTTCTCCAAGGAAACCTCAAATTAGGTCACAAAGTGTCAGACACAACTGAACAACAACAAAATTTATATGTATATATTTACTGTTTTAGAAATTAAAATATTTCAGTATTATGATAAAAACAGTTTGAACATTGAAAAGGTCAGACTCGATGAAAGGGTCTTGGGAACTCTCAGGGGTTACTGGACCATACTTTGTAAACCATTGCCCTATACCAATGAAATCACTGGTCCAGTTTCCATCGCTATAACATTTATGTACACACATGATTTCTTCCCTCAATAGAATATATGTGCATTAAGAGTAAGGACTATTTCATTTTGTCTATACCTCCAGAGCCATACACAGTGTCTTGTACATAGTAGAGTTTAATAAATGCTTGATGATTCATTCATTTTGTATTTGTTTAGGTTGGGCCTTTTACTTTTTAGAGTTATTTTCATATCTCTATCTGATGTTATCTATCGAACAAAGGTTTTTTAAGCATCTCTGTTTTGCTTCCGACACATTCTCCTAATGTGTCCTGGGCAAGTCACTTAACCTCTAAGTGCCTCCAAACCTCTACGAACTCCTCACATCTATTAAATCACAGGTCTAAAACTTCCCTCCTCCTCAAATGTTTAAGGTATCATGCTAGACAGCAAGTAGGGAGAAGAATTCAAAAATAATAAAGCTGATTCCTGCCCTCAAGAAACTTACAATCTAGTAGAAGTGAGACTTACACAAATAGTTGTAATACAAGAGGATGTAAGTAATAATAATAACTAGGATTTGTATGATGTTTCGAGAGATCTTAAAAAATAGTGGTGGCCTTATACTCTGGAAGACCAGGGTTCAAGTCCTGCCTTTGAAATATATTATTAACTGTATAGCCATGGACAAGTCTTTCAACCTCTTGGTGCTTCAGGCAACTTTAAGAACGTAAGTTACAAAAAAGTTGCCATGTCTATAGAGGGAATTTATAGAGAGATGGTGATCAAGGTGCTGTTGGAAGCTTGACTTGCCTGGGGCATGCTACCTCCTGTCATTTCATTGTCATATAATAAGTTCATAAGAAAGCTTTATAAAGGGCACTGTAGTTAAAAAGGAGGCAAAAAGCTTCTAATTGGGGGAAATAAGGAAAGCTTCATGAAAGATGGGGCATTTCAGCAGGACCTTGGAAGAGCAACAAGCTCTCAAGAAAGAGATGGTTGGGAAGGAAGGGGATGTGGAGAATTACCGAGAATTCCAGGCATTGAGACCCATATGAAGAAAAGTAGAAAATAAAAAAAATAGAAAGACAGGAGAAGTCAGTTTGTCCAGAACACAGAGAATATGAAAAGGAGTAGTATGAAAGTTACAAAGATAAGTGGAAGTCATATTATCTAGGGCTTTGAATGCCAAGCTAAGGTGTTTGGACTTTTTGTTTGTTTGTTTTGGTTTTTTAGGCAATTAGGGTTAAGTGACTTGCCCATGGTCACACAGCTATTAAGTTTCAAGTGTTTGGTCTGAGGCTGGATTTGAACTCAGGTCCTCCTGACTTCAGGGCTGGTGCTCTATCTACTGTGCTACCTAGCTGCCTCTTAAGCCTTCATACCAGTGGTGATAGGCTAGGTGGCTAGGCAATGGGGTTAAGTGACTTGCCCAGGGTAACACAACTAGTAAGTGTTATGTGTCTGAGGCCAGATTTGAACTCAGGTCCTTCTGAATCCAGGGACAGTGCTCTATCTACTGCCTCACCTTGCTGCCCCCTGACTTGTTTTAATATATGATGGGAATCACTGAAAGTTTTTCATTAATGAAGTAGCATGAGCAGAGCTACAGATGAGGAAGATAAATCTGGCAGCAGTGTGTAGGATAGATTGAGATGGCGAAGGAACTCAGGAGATTATCAGAATCATCAAAAAGAGATTATTAGGGTGGAAGACAAGGAAGGGATTGATTCAAGAGCTGTCATGGTCATTAAAACTTAGTAAAATTAGAACTCTGAAAGTCCCTCCCCCACCCTGACCTCCAGAAGGAGAAGCAAGGTTGAAGACTGGTTCTAAAGTTTAAGGCCTGGAAGATAGAAATGATGGAGATGCTGCTGGGAGAATGGTGGTGTCATGTACAAAAATAGGCAGTTCTAGAAGAGCAATTTTGGGGGAAAGATAATGCGTCAAGTTTTGGATATGCTAAGCCCACCAATCAATAATCAACATGTGTTATTTATTAAGCACCTATTATGTATCAGGCATTGTGATAAATACTAAGCATACAAAGACATGGAATAATCTCTTCTCTCAAGGATCTTCC